TAGACCTGCAATGGAAGGCTCATGACAAAGTAAGTCATAAAATGCTGGTGAGCGGCTTGTGTTCTATGGACGGTAGCATCAGTGAAAAAATATGCTACTATTTGTCAATATTTTCATCAAATCCATCTTAAGCAGGTGTATTCTTGCTTATCAGATTAAAGTTTTTAGAATTCTAGTGGCAGAATCAACTTTTTCAAATTCACTGATTATGGTAGTGCTCTGTCTGGTATACAAAATTTCTAAATCATTGGAAAATTTCCACTCACATAAATATGAATGAATGAACAGTTATTGAAGTTGAAATTAATAACGTAGTTTGTTTGTGAAATTATTGATAATGTTAACAGTATTGCGGTAGGTGAGTTACTACATGAACAGGATGCTGGAATTTTCGAAATAATGCATTGACGGCCAATTATACTGATTATTACTGATCTTACACAAATATGTAGCTGATGAAAGAGTATAGATTGATGAAGAGATGACCGAAAATTATGTTAAACTTATTATTACATCAACATGGTTACATTGAAACAATGTGAAGAACACATATATGTATGTATATGTATACGTATATATATTTCTGTTGGGAGTGTGAATTTCTATCCTAATGATGTGCTGTTTTTTTTTGTCTTTCATTGTCCACCACAAACAAAATTCAAAAAAAACGAGCGCACATAGATGTTTTACTTATCCAAATGGCAAGAATTTAATGAACACCAGATGGATTTAATACAGTCACATATATAAACTAGATGATAAACTACATTCAAAAGGACATTGTTTGATTATTTCTTCTGACAAAAATTAAATAAAATTACCACCTCTGTCGTTAGAATGTTATAATTCAGTTCGTATCTATTGCTCTACATATAAATATTAAACAGCTTGTTAATTATGCAACGCGTGAAAAAAAACATACACCATACAAAATACCTTTCAATTGAAAGGTAATTCACTGAATTTCGGAATTAGTTTTGTTTTAAAAAAAATGAAGCAAAACAATGATTGAAGTTTGAACCTGTTTGTGAATTGTTGAAATGTTAAAATGAAAATTAGTTGTTTAAAATTGGAAAATAAGGAATAAAGGCAATATTCTCTCTATTTACACTGTATCACATTCTAATCAGTTATTTGGTAACTGAACATAGTCGACGACAAACCCTGGACCTATTCTTCGTGATAATTTACACGTTAGAACATGATTTAGTTTTAATCTTGCGAATACTTATTCCAATCAGGCAACCCACCGTCATTGTTGTGCGGGATTTCGCAACAAAAGCTGAATTTTTCAGAAGTCGCTGTCGCAAAGGTCTTATATAATTATGGAGAAAACTAATAATGAAAAGTAAGAGCTATCAACACGTTAACGTGTTAAGAAAAATACTTATACGCATTCGAAATCATCAATCAATCATTGTTAGACCACCATTAGAAACCTGGAAGCACTGAAAGACGGCCGTTTAGTCCTGGTATGGGACTCATCAGCAGTGCGCATCCACGACTCCTGCACCTCGCAGGATTCGAACCCGGGACCTTCGGTATTGTGCGCGAACGCCTAACCATCAGACCACTGGGCCGGCATCCAACGGTGTTAATGATGAGTCCCATACCAGGACGAAACGGCCGCCGTGCAGTGCTTCCAGGTTTCTAATGGTGGTCTAACAATGATTGATTGATGATTTCAAATGTGTAAAAACACAAACCTCCAAAACTCTCCCCGAAAAACTGCTTATGTTGAAATAAAATGCACACAGTATGCATAGAAAAAGTAATAATCCAGGTTAGGGTTAAAGGGGTATGGAGAAGGAGGAGAGGTTCACTGTTTTGGACGACTAGAATTTTAAACAAAATTTTGAAGAGTTTGAATAGATTTCTTTTGTATAATTTATCCTAAGATTTTTTATGAATTGTAATAGCTTCCTCAATACTAAGAAGAGATCACTGAAAAGATCGTTATTTAGAAAAAGTTATTGAAAGTAATCATACTTCTCTTTGTTGAATTGATTGAAACCTACTCTGTCTAAATAAAGTGTTTCTAAATTTAGGTAACTGACTGGAAAACCTGCTTAAACTAAGTTTTGTGTTTCTTCCAGTTCGTCGGAAACGGATACTTACAACTCTGAAGAGATTGACTTCTTTTCAAATTGTAACATCTACAGTCGATTGATTTCTAAGAAGTGATCAAGGCTAGGTTTACCTAGTTCTTTAGCAGACCGAACTGCATGGACTTTGTTTCAGTTTGTTCACTGATATGAGTATTTTGACATTGATCACATTAAATTACTTTGGCCAGTGACTTGAAACTGTGAAAAAGATATTATTTTCATTTCAAAATATCTCATTTAAAATGTGATTAATAATTCTCTTTCCTATGTTTTACGAGAATTTTCCTATTTATTAAGCAAATAAAGTGAAAATTACAGAACGAAATGAAATTCCTAGTGCGGCACTCATCCAATCAATAAACAGAGAAGATACCCGAAAATGCTTGAAATCACAATCATATGAGGTGGAAAACTAAGGGAGCTTTAAATTCCCGGTTACGTATATTATATTTCTTCACTTTTTACTTGTTTGAAATAAACCAGTAATGCATGAAACATTAAACACAGTTATACTGAATAAATATTTCCGCATGATATTTAGGCATATGAATAAACTGTATACCTTCATGTAAGAATACAGAAGCATTACAGAATTGAAATCAAATATGTTTTACACTCGTTAGAATAACATTCGAATCCATTTCAGTAACGTGCAATAGATCTATCCAATAGAGAAAACCATCTTAGTTATTTGGAATGTTGATGTACAGGTATGTACAAATATAAATGTTCTTCACTAAATCATAATTAGTTAAAGTTAAGCTTACATGTAATGTGATAAAGATCACGATAATAACAGAAAATAACTAAGCAATTAAGTGTACAAATAAGCTGTTCAAAATGGCTATTCAAGCAAATATCATTTCAATGAATAAAAGTATCACTAGTTTTGTCGGTAATTTATTTAACCAATGAATACCAGAAAAAACAGATAAAATGCACAAAGTCGCATACGGTACTATGAGACGGAGCATCGCTTAAAAGTTGCTATCAGAGACACGAATTTCCAAATGCATGGTGTAGTCAGAGTATTTTGAAGACCTAGAAGAGAGCTAATAACCTACTTGTATTGCAAATTGATGTTTGAACACTGTGTGTACATATTATGCAAATGAATTGTGTCTTTCGCCAAAATATATTTTTCATCTTCGTAAATTACACTTGTATCTTTTGTTTCCATACATTAATCACTGAGCTAATGAGCTAGGATAGTTACTAGACTATTCAGACTATTCAGAAAGATTTTATGACCTCCGTTATTGATATTTATGACTGTAAATTATCAGTCTTACTTACCATACGACCAGGAATCACATATTTCAGCAGACGTGCTTACTAGTTAATTTTGTGACTGAAAATCAAAATACTATCTGATGCGATAACAATTTGATCGGATTTTAAAATAATATATGAATTGCCAGCATCTTTGTTTAATGAAATTCTTTGATGGATGTAACACTCATGAACACATTTTGACCTATTTGTTTGATTTTAAAACACTCAGGTAGTTCATATTGAAGTTTAACAAATTAAAAAAATACAAGTTTATAACAACTATTAACACGTTTTGTATTCATATTCACTCATTAAAGATTAGAAAATTAGTTTTGTAATTGATTTCAGTAGAAGGTAGTTAAAGTTAGTCAGCAAGAAACACTGCACGGCACAGACTGCGTTTTTTGGCTCTCGTAAGCAGAACGTACATGTCAGTTTAAGGGGACTAACACCCTATAATGCATTCATTTCCATGTCACCATATTTCACAGTCACAGACTCTGTCACCTAGCCACTCGGGCCGCGACTGACCTGAAATTTATTTCCTACTGGTCGAAAAAGTTCTATTAGCACTAAAAGACCTGACGTATATATCACACTGATTATTACTGAGTGATTGATTATTCGAAAATACATTTCACTGCTATGAGTGGTCAGTTTTGGCCTAAATAACTTAGTGCAAACATATGTGTGTGTGATATTCGAACAATGGGGTTCTTTGATGAAATAAGTTAGTTTCATAGACAAAATGTTTTCAACATGTCACAGCATGTATAAACTGAAGAAATGTAAAGAAAAAAGAATTCTTGTGTTAATATTTTTCACCAAGCTGATTGTTTAACACGTTCAGATAAATTGAATGAGTAAAACAAGTGAATGAAATCGTTGTTCTTAATAATATATTTGACTGATAAAAGGGGAGTCAAACTTTATTTATCAATTACAGGTCGCCATAAGATAGCTGTTAGTTTTCCATTTCCCCTACCAATATTACTAGGATTAATCTATATATGTGTAGGGCTTCAGCTGCTATTCTTTCTTTTGTGTGAACCAAAGGACTTTGAAGGATTGTCGTATGGTCACTATGAATGACCACATTATACTGAGTATAATGTTATTGTTCATTCGTTCTCTAGTAATTTTAAAGGTCTTCTGAGACTTTAGGAATACGCTTTCAACAAAGTTTGTGTTGCTTCAATTTCACATTCAGCTGTCTTGCTGTTTTACCCACAAACATACAAAACTCACACATTGATGATGAAAACCTTTTTTTTCCTATACAAAATATAAATGGTTCTACCAATTCAAACCAAATGTAGTTGCATGTTCTTACAAATAAGTTAAATTATTATGTAAATTATTACACTGTCGATTTAGCCATTTGTAAATAAATGTTTTTCTTTATGTCCGATAAAAATTCACTGTCGATGAACATGATACTTATCATTGTCAATAGATCAAAGTACCACCCGTCTCGTCAAATATATGGTTTCTACTTAGATTACTTCAAGCACCATGAATAGTGCCGAAGACATATTTCAATGATTAGTAAAGATAGTTTATAAGTAACTTGGAATAATGAGGGCAATATTTTAATTTTGTTTTTTTAATTATTAGACAAATGGGACCACTCAGTCACTTCTAATCATACAATACCTTCTACTTTTAAACAAACTTTGTCATATATTCCCAATCCTTTTGAAGAGAATAAATGTTTGGAAGTTGAAAAATCTTTTCCTGTTGTCAATACACCAAACTATACTAACAATTTTAATTATTCATCCTCTAAAGAAAATTTACTTGACTATTTTAAATCATCAGTTAATCAACAACATTTTAATAATCGATATAATTTATTCTACCTAAATGAATGGTATCAATCGTATCATGAACGAAGTATATTCACACCAACTGAGAAAGATGAAAAACCATTGGACTTATCGTTCAAAACAGATTCAACTCCCAATGAATCGATTTGGTCAGTTTAGGTTATCTTTATTTTTAAATGAAATAATTTGTTTTAATTGTTTAATGAGATTGCTTTTGTTGCGTAACGAATGACAAATTATTTAAATATGAATATATAAACAACAAAAGTATGTTTTACAAAGCAACATTGTACATTTATGATGTATATATTAAGAGGAAAAAGATGACTTATTAAAAATCCGTTCAACTTATTGTACAAATCAAAAAACAACTAAAACTTTATCAAGAAAAAGAAAATATGATCGACAGAACATGATTATTTTGATGATGAATTCGATTACATATAAATGACTGACTGTGACTGATATACATAGCCATAAGTTTCCGCATAAAATATCGATCAGCAATGAATATCCAAATCCTGATATATTTTGTAAATTTTTGTGACTTTGTTTTTATGATTTGGGTGAGTCAGTCTGAACTGGTTAAATAGGAAGAAACACGGTAGATAAAGCAAGGGTAGTATTTGTACAATCAAAAAACATCTGGTACTCAAAACAATTCTCACCCAACACCGAAGTGAGGATCATCAATACCAATGTCAAAAGGATTTTGTTGTAAGCGGCTGGAACTGGGAGAATTATCATAACTATCATTTGAACGATGCACACATTTATGAACAGTTGTCTAGACCAAGATACTCAAGATCTGTTGTCCAGACACGATCGGAAACAACCTACTGACTGTTAGACGGAACAAAACAGATTCCATCTTATGAAGTAATCAGGAGAAAGTACTGGAGGTGGATTCGGACAGACATAGTAGGAATTTCTAAATCGCGTCACGAGGCTGGCCCTAACTTGAACTCCTTAAGTTGAGAGGGGTAGAGGCAGATCAATGAACCTATTGCTCTGGAAATGGGGAGGCAGACATTTGAAGATTGAATAGCGATTGTGTAGACCTGTAATGGAAGTCTCATGACAAAGTAAGTGGGACAATGCTTGTCGGCCGCCCATGCTTCATTAGTGTTAACAAGCGCAAGTCGCTAAACAAATGAGCGTTTGGATTTAAGATTTCGTTTTAAAACATTATCTGTCTGAGAATGAGATATGTTTTATAAGTTACATTAATTAATAAGACAAATTCCTGGTTCGGTTTCATGGAAAACATTTCTTTAGATTTCGGGAATTTCAAGCACTAAGTATCATTAACAAGACAAATTTTCTTTCCCTATCCTTTATGTTTTACTGAGAATAGCATTATTTCTTTTTATTTATTTGTTCAAAAGTAAGGATGATATCACGCGGATACGTAACAATGTTAATTTTGACAACTTGATAAAATAATATCCATTGATTAGATTATGATGAAACTCTGCCCGTAGAACCTTCGGGGCTACTGCCAGTCCCAAGCCAGGATAAAGGAGGAGGGTTGGTCATGGGGTTGGCGACCCCATCCCACCAAAAAAACGCTAACCAGAAAAAATAAATCAGACCATTTTAACTCTGCCCTGGGAGTTGGAAGAAGAATTATGTCGTCTCGTGACGAAAGCCGAGTTCCCTCGGAAGTCACGAGTCCGATGCCTATTCTGACAACCAGAGCAACATTCTTTTAGGTACATGGAACGTTCGTACATTAAGGGAGACTGGAAGACTATTTCAAGTTGCGGCAGAAATGAAAAGATACAACCTCGAGGTGCTTGGAATTAGCGAAACGCATTGGACACAGGTAGGACAACTGAGACTAGCTTCATGGGAAATGCTGTTATACTCTGGTCATGAAGAGGAAAATGCTTCACATACACAAGGAGTTGCACTGATGCTGTCCAAAGAAGCACAAAAGCCACTGATAGGCACAACAGGACAGACAACATCACACAAGTTTTATACAGACTTTCTGCGGGATACCGTAAAACTCAACGAATTCAAGATAGCCCTCACCAATAGGTTCCAGGCCTTTCAGGATCTACTCAATGGAGGGAAGCAACATTGGAGAACAATTGGAAAGGGATTAAGGAGGCAATCACTTCAACATGTCACGAAGTTCTGGGTCACAAGAAGTACCATCACAAGGAATGGATCTCTGTTGATACTCTCGCAAAAATTGAAGAAAGGAGGAACAAGAAGGCAGCAATCAATGTCAGCCGAACAAGAGCGGAGAAAGTTACCGCACAAGCTGCATACACAGAAGCAAACAGGGAAGTGAAGAAGAGCATCAAAGCTGACAAACGAAAATATGTGGAAGATCTAGCAATGACGGCGGAAAAGGCTGCAAGAGAAGGAAACTTGAGACAATTGTACGAAACAACAAAGAAGCTGTCCGGGAACTATCGAAAAGCAGAACGACCAGTGAAAAACAGGGAAGGCAAAGTAATCAGCAACACTGAAGAACAGAGAAATAGGTGGGTAGAGCACTTTCAGGAACTCTTGAATCGACCAGCTCCGCTGAACCCACCTAAAATCGAAGCAGCATCCACCGACCTCCCAAATAATATTGACGCACCTGCGATTGAAGAGATCAGTATGGCCATCAGACAAATGAACAGCGGCAAAGCAGCAGGACCAGACAACATTCCAGAAGAGGTAATGAAAGCAGATGTGGAAGCAACTGCGAAAATATTTCACATTCCCTTCAACAAGATTTGGGATGAGGAACAAGTACCATCTGATTGGAAAGAAGGATACCTCATCAAAACTCCAAAGAAAGGCGATCTCAGCAAGTGTGAGAACTAAAAGGCAATAATCTTCTCTCAATACCAGGCAAAGTCTTCAACAGGGTATTGTTAAACAGAATGGAGGACTTCGTAGACGCCCAACTTCGAGATCAACAGGCCGGATTTCGTAAGGATCGATCGTGCACCGACTAAATTGCAACATTACGGATCATTGTGGTACAATCAGTAGAATAGAACTCACCACTCTACATCAACTTCACCGACTACGAGAAAGCATTCGATAGCGTGGACAGGAAAACACTATGGATTCTTCTTCGACACCATAGCGTCCTTAAAAGCATAGTCAATATCATACGGAATTCTTATGATGGATTCAACTGCAAAATCGTACAAGAAGGACAGCTAACAGACTCTTTCGAGGTGAAGACCGGTGTCAGGCAAGGTTGCTTACTCTCACCCTTTCTCTTTCTCCTGGTCATCGACTGGATTATGAAGACGTCAACATCTGGAGGGAAGCACGGTATCAACTGGACAGTTAGGACGCAGCTGGACGATCTGGACTTCGCAGATGATCTGGCTCTTCTAACGCACACTCAACAACAAATGCAAGAGAAGACGACCAATGTAGCAGCAGCCTCTGCAGCAATAGGTCTCAACATACATAAAGGAAAAAGCGAAATTCTCCTGTGCAACACAACATGCACCAACCAAATCACTCTTGATGGAGATGCTTTGGAGGACGTTAACACCTTTACATATTTGGGCAGCATCATCGACAACCAAGGTGGATCCGATGCAGATGTAAGGGCGCAGGTCGGCAAAGCAAGGGCTGCATTTCTACAGTTGAAAAATATCTGGAACTCCAAACAAATATCAATCAACACCAAAATTAGGATTGTCAATACAA